CTTCTACCAAGCCAGACCCCTTTGTATGGAACAGAGGAGGAAACACCGTGTAGTCCCCTCAAAGCACTCTTTAATTTAAAATATTTTATTTTGCACCTATATTCCTATACTATGTAGATGATATCATCTATGAACTGGAACATCTTCCCCAATTTGATACAACATAAGAGAGACAGACTGAATTAAAAGATGTACAAAGATAAACCTGTGTTTGGGAATATAGGTATTTAGCTGCCAAATACTTGGCTTTTATAGGTCTATTTTGCTTTTACTTTACCCTAGGATGGTAGTGTCCCCTTGGCATAGCACCATGGTCTTGGAAAGTACCTTGTGGCGGGAAACAGAGAATCCCCTTTCCCATCCGTCCTTCCCATAACTCTAACATCTTATTCTAAAGTTTCCTTTTCTACCCTTCAATGACAGGTCTCCCTCTCTTCCTCTTTCACAGATGAGGCAAACCAAATAGGCTCACTGGTATACATAGCTACAGAGTTTTTAATATATTAATTCATTTATTGCAATGAAAAGACTATAATGATAGTTTTCATTTGTATAATTTTAATTCTTTCAAAATGATTTTTTTTTTTACATGCTGGCCTCTAATTTAGTCTCCTAAATTAGACAAGATCAGTACAAATGGTACAAATGAGGTCTGACGTGTATTGAATGTCTACCATGTGCCCGGCTCTTTGCTAAGTGGGGAACATTTATTATCCTTTAACCCTAGGAGGCATGTATTGATATCACATATAATTTTGCATGTAATGAGAAGGTGTAGTTTGGAAATAACTTACCAGGCCTTTAGGGTGAGGAGTGAAGGCAGGGTCTGAACAGAGGGAGTCAGGCTCCAAACTTAAAATTTTCAAGAGCAAATGATAACAGACAGTTAGGTGGCGATGGATCTGGAAGAAGGAAATGCCCTTAAATGAAGGGAATTTAAGAATTTGGAAACTTTTGGTGCTAAGTTTGAATGAACAAGGATGCCACCAAGATGTTTATTTTGAAATACCCAAGGGGCTATTTCTCTTTTTGAAGCTGCACATATTTTCAACACAGATTCTGCTTGTTTTTGGTCTCTTCTTCGAAACCCTACCTACTTACTGCTTAGTGTGGATGCCCAGTATGGTTCGTTGTACAGAAAAGCAAGAGACTAAGGGTAAAGAGAGATGGGAGATTTTGGCCTTTGACATAGGCTTTTGCTACTTACTTTTTCTCCTTCCCAATCTGGAAAATTGATATTTTTAACAGTCCAGTGCCTGACTTCCACCTTGGAAGATTACGCTTGCCTACTTGGGAAAAAATTGAGTTTTATGTGTCATTAGGACTTAAATTAAAATCTTGGTGCTGATATGTATTAGGTTAGGTGTGTGTTGGTGTGTACATGGGGGCTTGGCTAATATCCTCTGAACTTTTGTCCACATAGGTGAGCAGAGCTGATCCTGCTCTAAGGGGGTTTTGAGATGATTAGTGACAAAGAACATATATTATCTGGTGGACAAAATATGCTGAGGGCCAGCAGCAGCAACTGAGAAGGAAGAAGTTTGCTGGGTTGTTAAGACCTCTTCTCTGGGGACTCTTCCATGTGTGTGGGCGTGGGTGTGGCAGGGCAGAGGGTGAAGGTGTGAGATCTGTGCGAGATGATATGAGGCTGGCATTCCCCTGGAGGGAGGGTGAGTGAGCTCAATATGCTCAGAACACGTGGGGATCTCACATATGTTAAGCCTCAAAATTCATATGGCGGGGGGTGGTGAAGTTGTAGAGAGAATAAAGAGCACCAGGCAGCAGGGCCAGCACTGACGCTGGCAAAGGTGAGTTGGGTTCCCCAGACGTGCCTTGCCCATAATAAGGGCATTCACATAAGGAGATCTAGTGTGTATTTGGTGATCAAGGTGATCGCCCTTGTCCTCATTTCCCTCCCTCAAAGGGATCAGATTCACCAATCTTCAAAGCTTCTGGCGCCAGCCAAATTTTTTTTTTTTTTCTGACCCTCAGCAAGCCTGCCCTCCCCTCTCCCAAATGCTCCATCTCTGTACAAGTAATGTTGATTAGAGTCTTTGAATAGACTATATTAAATTACCCTTCCACCAAATAAAGAACGGGTAGGTTATTAATCGCCATGCTAGAGTGACAATTAATAACCTGGCCCCAACCGCCAATTTGCAAACTTTGAATACTAATTATTCTTCTTTTTGTAAGAAATAGCCAGGCAGACTGGCAAGAACACTGCTCGGGGTCAGAATGTTGACTCTGACTCCCTTAGAAAAACATAGATGGAGACGATTCACTTAACTTTTCCAAGCCTCAGATGTGTTGCATATGAAGTAAGCACAGCTTGTCTCCTTCCAGGATCATGTTAATGTGTAAATATATATATATATATATATATATATATATTTTTTTTTTTTTTTGGAAGGTGCTATGTGAATCTAAGGTTTTGTTTTTCTTCAGTCAGTATGTTTTACTGAATAAAACATGCCCTTGTTGACAATGGCAGTCTCCACTCATTACCAGAATCTTATCTGTAGTGCTTCTATTGTTCAGTGAAATCTGTGATGGCTGAAAGCTGCAAGGTCTATTTCAGGACAATTCTGGAAGAACAAACAAACAGCAAAGGGGTTGGTGAGGGAGGAGCAAGAATAAAAGAATCAGACTGTGAAATAATCCATGATAGACTTAAGGTACGCACAGGGGCCTTCCATTCTGATTGGCCTGAGTTCTAAGAATCCTATGGTTGGTAGAAGTAGCAGCTATTTTCCCCCAAACTCCTGAAGTTTTATTCTGAAAACAATGCTCTTTTCCATTCACAGCTGAATAAGGAAGTCATCTTTCTTCTACTTTGATGCTTTAGAAAAACATACAGAAATCACCTGTGAATTGGAAATAGGCAGCGGATTGTGATTTAGACTCCCCACTATACCCCAGCCTCCCACCCATGGCTGCCATCAGCCCCCCTTGTTTATTCCCCCACCTCCCTGGCAGCCAGAGGCACCAGCTTGAGTGGATTCCTCTAGGCTTCCCAAATAACTGCCCCTTCCTGATGAAAGTCTTTGCTTACTCTTTTTCTTCTTTCCTCGGTGAGTTTCCCTGCCCTTTCCCTATTTGCCTGCATAATCCTAATCCCACCTGAGCCTTAGGGTCCAGTTTAAATCCCTTTATTCTGTGCAGTCTTCCTGCCCACGTCTCCCCTGCTGCGCAGCAGAGCCCTCTTCCTCACATCTGTCATGGGAGCAGGGTGGTGGGGAGGGGCATCTTTATCACAGCCCAGTCCTGGGGACCTGTCAGGTCATTTCTGAAGGCCAGAACCTGCCCTGAGCCGCATTCCAGTGTCCCTTCTGGACATGAGAAAATCAGGTGACAGTACTTCAGAGGATGGTCTCATGAGGGCTGTGGCCAGAGATGAAGCAGGACCCAGAATCACAAGGCTTTCGCTATCAAGACAGGCCCACTACAGGCCCACTGAGCTGCTTTGTAAATGGGGACACTCCACCAAAATGAAGGTGGCTCCCCCTGAGAACTCTCTGGAAGAAAATGCTAGAATCCCCTTCTCCTTGGCTCTCATAAGGGAAAAAAGGGAAGACACTCAGACGCGAACACGGCAGTGTACGTGTAGGTTCTGATCCAGGCATCAAAAGTGAATTAGTTCATTACATTCTTGCCAGGACCTGATGAGGTTAATGCAGGTTAATGATAAACTCTTTCTGAAGATGCTTGGACCCAGAAGTGTTTTAGATTTTTGAGTTTTTCAAATTTTGGAATATTTGCATAGATTTTACCTGTTGAGCATCCCTAATCTGAAAATATGAAGTCTGATATGGTCTAATCAGAAACTTTTTGGGTATCATATTAGCATTCAAAAAAGTTTTGGATTTTGGAACATTTCAGATTTTAGATTTTCAGATTGGGGTGCTCAAACTATAGTATTATCATTATTTCCACTTGGAGCTGAGGAAATAAATGCTCAAAGACAATAAATAGCTTGTCCCATGTCAATGAAAAAAAAAATTGTTTTGAACCAAGTTGTAACTGAATCCAAAGCCTGTGGGTTGATTTTTTTTTTTTTAATCTACTCTAGACCGGTTGTTCTCAAGTATGGTCCCTAGAATAGTAGCATCAACATCTCCTGAAAGTTTATTAGAAATATAAGTCCTTGGGCCTCACCCAAGTTCGATTGAATCAGAAATTCCTGGCACAGGGTCCAGCAATGTGGGATGTCTCCAGTCCTGCTGGTGATGCACACTCAAGTTTGAGAGCTGCTAATCTATACTAACTCTCCCCCAACAAGAGGTCCCCTGGTAACTCGGCCTAGAAACCATGCTAACATAGGAACATGCCAAGACATGGTTACTGATTGACCCCTGACTGTGCCAAGCCCCACCTGGTATTTCTGTGCCACCTGGCTCCTCCTCAAGGTACGTTTGGAACTTTAAGGATGCCTATAGGTTTGGAGGGTTGTTGTGAAGGAATTTTTTAAAAGACACAATTTCTCCAAGTCTTTCTTAATATGGTTTGTCACCATCTGACCATTGATGTTTGATTTGCTCTGTGATTATGTTGACTGGCTGTCAGATTTTCACTGGTTATTGTGTCCTTGGTCATTTATTCCATCATATATGCAACAAATATTTATGGAGTGCCCTGTAAGTGACAGGCATGGTATGAAGTGTTTGTGTTTGAAGAACGGGCTAGAGACAAACCCCGCTGGCTGTCCCAGAACGTCCAGGGAGCAGACCACCACCAAGAAGTGGGAAAGGTGCTGCCTGATGTAGGCAAGGTTCTCTAGAGTTCTTAGGAGTTAGACTTCTTTTTTCCTATCCCTGCCCAGGGTGCTGAGGGCATTCTCCAGTCTCTGTTCTGCCCAGTAAGAAGCCAGGCTCTGCCTGTGAGCTCCCAGCCAGCCAGGCAAGAGGACAGGCAGTGAGTTTTGCTCATTTGCATTGCTTTTATTATTGCAAGAATAAAAGTAGATCACCTTCCACATTGTCCTCTGCTCTTGCCTTCAGGGTGCCTGTCCTTGCTGGTGACGGTCCAACACACAGAGCGTTATGTCACTCTGTTTGCCTCTGTTGTCCTCAAATGTGACTATACGACCTCTGCCCAGCTCCAGGATGTGGTGGTGACATGGCGCTTCAAGTCCTTCTGCAAGGACCCCATCTTTGACTACTTCTCTGCCTGTAAGTGTCCTCCCCCTTCTTATTCTCTCCACGTCCCCAGCACCTCTGTAATGTTCTATGTCTGGGATCTAGAAATTATTTAGGATCACAAATCCTCATAGTGAGAAGAAGCCACAAAAATGCAGTCCCTTCATTTCATAGATAAACTGTGCATAGGCTGACAAAATAACTTGTTCTAGGTCACATATAAGTTTATTTAAAGTTTTTTGTTTTACCTTGTTCTGAAAAGATTTAAGACAGCTCAGACATTAAGCAAAAGCAGAGCTAGTCCTGCCTCTTGGTCCATTCTTGGGTCAAGCCAGCCTGCTAAGCTGATGATGTCAACCTGTCTCCCATCACCCCAGGGCCTTAGAATGCAGATGAGAAAATTCCAACACCACTCAGGATGCAGGGCCTTAATGGTCATTTGTGAAGCCTCCTGCCCTTCCTCAGCCAGCCCTCCTGGCAAATGGTCATTCCTCAGTGGTCTACACACTTGCAATGGTGAACAGCTTGCTTCCCCTGGCTGCCCCTTTGCAGTTGCCCCTCTTGGTACTACACAGCCCCTCCTTATGTTCAGCCAAGTCCCATCTCTCAGTAACAGTGGCCTCACTCATCAGCTCTGCTGCCTGGAACCAGAATCCAGAGCCCCACAGTCATCCTGAGACAATGAGTCTTTTGGAAATGTTGAGCATAGAAGTAGATGCCCTGTTTGGAGGAAGGAAATGCACTTTCTGAGATGAGGCAGAAGAAGCAGGAGGCATCAGCTTGCCATTTTTAGCCCTGGGGTATTTGAGTAGAACCACAAAATCTGACTGCTTGAGCCACTTACCAAACCAAAGCCACTTATCACCCCCAAAGACTCCTCTCTAAATTGAGGCCATTTCCTGGGGTTACTTTTAAAATGCTTGGGTTAAGTGGGGAGGAAGGGGACTAGCATAGCAGGCACTGGCTACCAGCAGATTTAATAGCTCTCAAAGCTCCTAATGGAAGGGCAGGTGGACAAACACCGGGAACAGAGACTGGGGAAACTTTGTAAATGAGACAAGGGAAGTTGGGCTGGGAGATGAAGGATACAGCCAGGACTTGGAAATAATGACCTCTAAGGGGGCTGGAGGCTCCTTGCTGAAAGTGGGGTTCTGCTATCACCTGTGGTTGAGTAACATCACCTGGGAATTTACTGGGCATCAGAAGCTCAGATCCTATTCCAGACCTGCAGAATCAGAACTTTCTGTGTGACTTGAGTGTGTCCTCTCTCCTCAGCATACCAAGCAGCTTTATCCCTGGGCCAGGACCCCTCCAATGACTGCAATGATAATCAGAGGGAAGTTCGCATCGTGGCCCAGAGACGGGGACAGAATGAACCAGTGCTGGGGGTGGATTATCGGCAGCGCAAGATTACCATCCAAAACCGTGAGTGTGGGGGAGGTGCAAAGAAACTGGGGGTGGGGGGAGGAGCAGACTTGGGTCTGGCAGGCTGAGTCAGCCTGGGATTTCCCAGTTACTTCTGCTCCTGGGCTCCTTGTTCACTCTCATTGAGGAAAATGCCAGATTCTTAGAATGTGCTGCATGGACTAAGGTTACTTTCCTGGAACGTGTTGACTAGATGTTCAACAGCTTTGGCTAAAGGTTTGGATGGAATGAGTTTCCTTGCTTTCCTGAGATTCAGGGCTAAAGTGTGGATTCAGTTCTTTTGATCCTTTCCACAAATTATTCTCAGGGTCTACACAAACCCCAGGTCCTTGAGTTCCTCTCGGGTCATTCTTGTTGCCCATCCAAAGAAAACATTCTTGTTGCGAGTAGGTGGCCACTTTGAGACCACTGTCCTCCAGTGAGAGGGGAAAGAGCACTGGACTCAGATACAAAGCCCTGGTGAGAATCTCACTGCTTCTGCTCATTAGCTCAGTGACCAGCGACAAGTCAGTTATTCTCCCTGGCTTCTTCCTTCATCTGAGAGTTGGGCATAATGTAATGGCATTGTCTCCCCACATGAAAGTGAATATCAAATGTGATGGATAGGAGCTGGGCCTACAGCAGTTTTATTCTTTGTGCCTGGTGTGGGGAGCACAGCCAGATACAGGCGTGGCTGCCAATTCTGCACTTGGAAGGCACGTGAACTTGGGCAAGCCCCTTTAAATTTTTTAACCTCAATTTCTATATAATGGGACTTGCCATAGTACCTATCTCAGAGATTTCTGAGGACTACATGAGATTTTGTGTAAGAATCATTTAATATACACTGATTGTACAGTGAACATCAGTTATTCATCAGTACATTTTGTATGAATGGGTACGTTAGCTCCCCATGCTCCTAACCTATGATCCAGAATTGCTGCAATGAGTTATCAGCACGGTATTCAGAGCCAATTTCTATGAGTGTTATGTGCTGTAGTAATTTTTTCCTAATTAACAAAAGGGAAAATACACCCCGCAGGCCGCTCGGGATGCCCATAGCTATATCCTGAGGAATCAGTGAATATTCAATGACCATTCAAAGGTCAGTTTAAAGGTCAGTTTAATCATTGCTTCCAACTTTCTCTATAATTCTGAAATCTTATCCTTTTACATTCAACCTCTGATTTGCTTAAACCAGCCCTTGAGTTCTTAGCTTTAGGGAACCTTCGTCCTTCTTCCAGTCTCCAAGTGCATCCTCAAAGATTCAAGGTGGCTTTACTTTCTCCAGAGCCCCAGCAGAATTAGTTCTGATCCAACCCCAAGTTTAAATCCTCTTTCATTAGCAACCCCCCTTTATAGTTTCCAAAGGACACAAGTCCCCTTGGATGATCATCCTTACTCTTTTGCCATGTTCTAAGTCAGAGCAGTACCTTCTGCACCTCCACTTCCTCATGCTGCCTCTTCCTCATTCCTACAGGAAAGCAGTCTTTCCCCCTGGGTTTTATTTCTGCATCTGGGCTCATTGAGACTTCCTGGAGCCTTTGCTTTCTGATACTTTCATGGCTGTGTTTGTATCATTTGAGATGCCCTTGTCAAATCAGTTCTTGGGTCATCTAAAATATTAACCTATCTGAATGCCCTTATTATGCTGACATCCCTTTAAAAATTTCTTTATGACTCCAATAAAAGGTGGAGCAGATTTATAATACTTATCAAGCTTGAGGGGGGCTTTCTCTTAAAGCACTTTCACTGTTCTTCCAAGTCTAGGGTGAGCTTGTTTATGGGAAAGGCAGTGGGTTTGGAAAATTGTGGGTAGGAAAAACATCACAGGCACTGACGTAAAAGAGAAGGAAACAGAAGTCAAAGTTTGCTCCAGTGTTGCATGACCTTGTGTTTTTGTTTCATTTCCTCAATAAATATCTCTTGACAAACAGACAATAAAGAATTGCAGATATGACCACCAACTAGGCAAGAGCAAATCTATAATACTAAGTTCTTTGAGACTAGCCAATGTCCTTTTGACGGAGAGGGTAACAGCAGGTACTGCCATCATTCAGGGATGTGGAGGCTGCTCTGCTACCTCTGATTGGCTTTTAAACCCTTCCAGGACAGAGAAGTCCTTGTTCCTCTTCAGATCTCCCACAGTGCCTGACGTGGTGTTGGGCCCAGGAAAAGTCTTTAATGAATATTTGTCCAATTTGCTGAACTTCAACATGTATGTTAATATTTATTGTCACAGGGGGGCAGAGTATTCAGTGCTCATGAGAACTTCAATTCTTTTCTTGGGTAACAAACTCTTAAAATATTGGCATTTCATTCAGACTGCTTCAAGCTCATCTCATAATCAGTCCCTTCAAGATTCAGAAATACTTGCTTATCTCTAATGAGGGGTCCAGGCCGGAAAGTTTTTTATCTGCTTTGGAGAGGCCAGTAGAACTGTGTTTGGGAGCACTAGATTTGAGGCAGAGAGACACGGGTTTGAACCCACCTTCTGCACATTATTTGGCCAACTCCCTGGCCTATTTATGTTTCATTTTTCTCATCTTAAAATGCAGTGAAATTCCTACACATCAGGTAGGATTAGATTGAAAGTAAGCAAAAGCCCAAAATATTAGTGACTTAAGGAATAAAGAAGTTTGTTTCTCTCTGATGTACAAAATCAGAAGTATATAGCCCAGGCCTAATGTGGCCTTGTTCCATTAAGTCCTCAGGGACACAAGTTCCTTCCAGCTCAACAAGAAGGTCATCTTCTTCCTCCTAGCCCAAGATGGAGCTGTAACATTTGTTCTTCAGATGTATTAGTCCATTTATCTATTGCTATAACAAAATGCTAAAGCTGGGTAATTTGTAAAAAAAATAGTTTTATTTATTTAACTCCTCATTTTGGAGGCTGAAAGTTCAGGATCAGATGGTTCTATCAGTTTGGCCTTGGCAAGGGCCGCCTTGGCTGGTTGGAGGATGACCTCATGGTAGGAGTGTGTGTTAGAGGCAGAGATCACGTGGTGAAATAGGAAACCAGAAAGCCAAGGGAGCCAGGCTTGCTCTTTTATAACAGTCCACTGTCTTGGGAACTAACTGAGGTCCTACAAAAACAATGTTAATCTCCTTCCAGATTAACATTGCAATAAGCTCACCTCTTATAAGTTCCACTACCTTCCAACATCACTACACAGAGGACCAAGCTTCCAACACAGGAAACTTGGGGGACACCCTCAAACCCCATCCAAACCATAGGACCAGGTAACAGAGAGGAAAAGATATATGGGAAAAGGGGGAAAAAAATCTTCTCAAGCTGTTTTGAAGAAAATTCCTGAGAGCCATCATGTGACACTTCTGATTGCATTTTATTGGCCATAACTGAATCACTTATCCACGTCCATCTGTAAGAAAGAATGGAAAACACTTACCTTATTTTGGATACCCCCTATTTTGTGCTGCTATATCAGAATACCTGAGACTGAGTAATCTATAATAAGTAGAAATGTGTTGGTTTACAGTTCTGAAGGCTGAGAAACCTGGTGATGGTCTTATTGCTATATCATCACACAGCAGAAGGTGAGAACGTGAGAGGGTCCCAGACTCACCCCTTTGTAATTCCACCCATGAAGGGGGAGCCCTCGTGGCTCACTCGCCTTTTAAAGGCCCCATCTCTTAATACTGTTTTACAAGGCAATTGAGTTGTGGCATGAGTTCTGAAGGGCCAGACCCTCAAATCACAGCAGCTGCACATATGGCCCAAAATTCAATTCTATGAAGGGGAGCATATATGCTGGGAATCAAGGGGTAATTTCTGCCTCACCCACTTACAGGGTCTCAGTGGGAATTGAGTGAGGCCATGTATGCAGAATCCTTGTGACGTGCCTCATGGTAGGCTCAGTGGTAATAAACTCCACCATCATTATACTGTTTGGAGAAGGAGGAAGGAGGAAGGTCTCAGAGGAAGGAACTGATACCCATTTACCAGGGCTCCTGAGGATGTGGAAGGATAATGCTGGGGTCTTGAAGCTACCGTGGGTCAGAAACCAGTGCCTGTCTACTGGCACTTTCTCCTTCTTTCCCATGTAGGAGCTGATCTTGTGATTAACGAAGTGATGTGGTGGGATCATGGAGTGTATTATTGCACCATTGAGGCCCCAGGGGACACATCAGGAGACCCTGATAAGGAGGTGAAGCTCATCGTCCTTCGTAAGTGCTGCTAGAATTTTCTGCTTGACTAACCCACCACTGTGACACTTTTACACAGGGGAAAACAACAACAACAAAAAAAAAACAGAAACGTACCTGTTATTGTCATTGGATTATGAACCTCTGAAGTTCCCTTATCAAAGCTAAACCTAGGGGCTGGGGCTGTAGCTCAGTGGCAAAGCGCTTGCCTAGCATATGTGAGGCACTGGTTCGATCCTCAGCACCATATAAAAAATAAATTAATAAGCAAAGATATTGTGTGTCCATCTACAACTAAAAAATATTTTTAAAAATTAATTTAAAAAACCCCAGCTAAACCTATGTTTCCAGCATATTGCTCAACTTTACCATGTGGGTCAAGAGCTGTGTTTGCTTAGACCTCTAGAGTGTTAGAACAGGTGGCATTCTCCTGAATATCCAGTACACTGCTGCTCGTCTTCTCCCCTGCAGACTGGCTGACAGTGATCTTCATCATTCTGGGAGCACTGGTCCTCTTCCTGCTGATTGGAGTGTGCTGGTGCCAGTGCTGTCCTCAGTATTGCTGCTGCTACATCCGTTGTCCCTGCTGTCCTGCCCGTTGCTGCTGTCCTGAGGAAGGTGAGAGGGGACAGACCAGCAGTGAGATGGGGTGGGATGCTCAGCACTCCAAGTAGATGGGCTTCCCATGCCAAGGTCAAGGCCCTGGGATCTCCCTGTTCCCCTCTCTGCATTCTCCCATCACAGGCCCAGAGGACATTAGCCTCAGCCTTGTAAATGATGCTTGGGGAAGCTGTAGAGCCTTGCAGAAGGTGGCTGATAAGAGGATTTCTGCCTGTCCACCTCTTACTCTGCCTAAAGCCCCTTTCATATATCTCTGCGTTTCCTCAGTGTCCCTGAACTATCCTGTGCTACAGGCTTTGCTCTCAGCACTGACCTTGCTTGGGCATGAGGTATCTAGAGCCAGCAGTGTGAGAGAAGGCTACCTGTAAAGGAAGAAACAAAAACCACTTAGCACACTTCTGATGCCAAATGTGAAACGTGGTTCCTTCCCCCCATACCACGCTGTTCTCCAGCAGACGCCAATTTAACTCCCTTCTGACTCTGTCTCCCTGGAGGTAGCAAATATCCCCAGGTTAAGAGTTCAGTCCTACAACTGCTCCCCAGGTCTGATGGCAGTTGCAAGTAATAGGATGTCACCTATTCTTCTGACCAGCTGACTATAAATTGGGATTTCCCCCACCCACCTCCTTGGGTTCTATTCATTTGCTAGAGTGGCTTGCATAACCCAGGGAAACACTTAATTTACATTTACCCATTTATTACAAAGCATATTTAATGAACAGCCAAAGAAAATGAACAACGAAAGAAAGAGACACATAGCGCAAGGATTGTGGAAGGGGACATGGAGCTTCCATACTGTTTCCAGGTGCACCAAGTGTATTCTAAACAATTCAGTTTACCCAGTAGCTTCCTGGACCCAGTCCTCTGGGGTTTTTAATGGAGGTTTTATTATAGATGCTTGATTGGTTAAATCACTGGCCACTGGTGATCAACTCAACATTCAGCTCTTCTCCCTTCCCAGGAGGTTGGGAGTTGGGTAGAGCTGAAAGTTCAGCCCTCTGATCATGCATTGGTCTGAAGCTATCAAGAGGCCCCTGGCCACTAGTCATCTCACTGACATACAGAAACTCACTACTCTGGAAGTTCCAAGGATTTTAGAGCTTATGTCAGAAACCAGAGGCAGAGTTCAAATATATATTTCTTATTCTATTATAGTTTCATGGTGCTCCTTCAAGATGATTGAAATAACAGGAGAAAGGTTTTAAGAGCAGTGATTCTCAAACAAGTTCACATTAGAATCGAGTGGAGGTTTCTTCACAGTGAACTGCTGGCCCCACCCCCAGAGTATCTGACCCAGTGGATCTGGAGTAAGGCTCAAGAATTTGTATTTCTCAAAAGTTCCCAGGTGTTATAAGGCTACTGGTCTGGGAGTCATATCTTTCCCTCCATGTGTTAGGGGCAGGGAAGAGGGAGCAGAATATCTTGTTCTTACTTTGGTCTTTCTTAGGACTAAAATTTGATTCTTTAAAACAACTACAACATGCCCTCAAAAATTTGGCTGCAGAATACTTGGTAAAGGTGAAAGAATAAAAAGTTATAATGTGAAAATCTTTTCTTAGTGAATGGAAAGGAATAGAATCAACTGCTTTAAATGAAAAGAATTATTTGAAAATAATATTTCCTGTTCCTGATCATGTAAATAAAGTACCACATTGTGGAGTATTTGGGAAATTCAGGAAAATGTAGACTAATCTGAGCACCCAGAGATAGCCACTTTTATCATTTTAGTTCATTTGAAAGTAAAGGCTTTAAAGGCAAATACAGAATTGCCCAGTAAGATAGAAACAAAACTTAACCTGCAAGGTCAAAAAGGTCATTGGTTATTGTTTCAGGCCTGTGCTCCAAAGTTACTGTCTTACAGGAAAAGAGAACTAACTTTGGTTGGGCGACTATAATGCATATGTCCTTTGTATGTATTTCCTCCCAACAACCCTAGAAGTCAGATGTCATCACTGTTTAACAGATGAGGGGACTGAAAGTTGGAGAATTCTCACAGCTAGCAAGTAGCAGTGGCAGTGCAGTGTTCACTCCGTGTGCATCTGACTGTGAGCGTCTGTGTGTCCCACAACAGGGGCTGCCTCTGCCTCTGTGGGTATGTCACCCTGGGATGGGCTGAGACAACATGAACTCCTTAAAGAGGAGCGTCAGGGAGAGAGCCCATGGAGAAGTCACAGTTGCTGCATAGTTTTATGTGAGATGGGAGAAGAAAAGCTCTCTCAGGTTGCCTTCCTAGAATTCCCAAGCCTGTGGGGCATTAAAAACAGGCAGAACTAGGGACAAAGTGAACTGATTAAACAGAGGTTCCGGCAGAGAATAGTTTCTCTAAGTGGTTGGAGTTCATTGAAAAGGACTGGTAAAAGGAAGAAATGCAGGCCACAAATAAAGATCCCTGGGCTTGAGCAGATGAGGTCACTTCCAGAGTACGTCACTAGGGCACACTGTCCTGAGAACTTTGATGACAAGAGTAGAATTGCGTGGAGGGGAAGGAATTGTTCACGAAGGCTCTCTGATGGGGGAAGCAGGTATAGACTAAGGTAACTCTAAGCATGTTTGTAAGTAAAGAACCAAGACCAACAGCAAGGAAGGGAGAGATCACTGAGGGTGATGGCGCTAGGGTAGCAGGGGTGGGGGCGGGGAGTGGTGGCAGGCCTATAGGGAAAGAACTCGCCTTAGAAAGGGAAGGGAGGGAGGCATCCTGACCTCTGAAGAGGCAGAGGAAGTCATTAAATGTCGAGGCTGACTCGGTATGAGGGAGGAAGCGGACCCAGCTCGTGTCAGCCTGTCTTGATTTCCCCAAGTCAAAGCACTACACACAGAAGGGACTTTGGGAAGGATGCCCGTGTCCTGGAACTTCTCTAACCACAGCCTAGCTTCCCCAAATGTGAGCCACCTTCCTGTGAGAGGTAAAAGTAGAGAGGAGAACAATGAAAGTGACACCCAATTTTAATAGCCTATGATTATCCACTGAGCATGGTAAACAACCCTCAGTAGGACTCACAGATGGAAGTTCTTGAAATTGAGTCATTTATTTATTTTATTTTTTCCATGAGAACTGGAGAAACAGCTTCTCAGTCCCTAGGTCGGTTACTAGCCCTGTTCCGCAGAGAACCTCCAGGCACACCCCAGTGCAGGGCTAGTTCCTTGTCCTCAACAGCCATGATGTCACCAGCTGAAAGTTCATGGGGGAGGGGAAGCCCTGAGCAGTGGGGAATGTTGAGGGTGCTGCTGGAGAGGAGGGAATGCTTGCGAGGTAGACAGATAACCTAGGAAAACCCAGTTGGGGGGAGGGCCATCTGAGGCAGTGGCCGGATTGGGTACAAGGAGCATGGCTGGTGGTTCCCCAAGGCTAAAATGACAAGAGTTCAGGGGGCCTAGGGATTCCAGGAAGCTCTTGAGAATGTCACTGAGAAGACTGGCTGGTCAAATTAGGGGAGACTGGTAGTTTGGAAAAAAAAAAGGACTGAGTCACCAAGATTAAAAGGAAGACAAAGAAAGGGGATGGTAAAGACTGGTAATCAGTTTACAGGGAAAGTGGAGTTAGGGGCCTCAAGGGCGCAACTTGGTGATGCATACAGAGGACACCTGCTGGAGGGGAGGGAACTTGCTGGTCTCTGTAGGAGGGTGAGGTGTTGAGTGTCACTTCTGCTACACAGGGGATGTCTTAAAGAATGTGCCCTGAGCCTGGCGTGGTGGTTCAGGCTGTTATTCCAGCTACATGGGAGACTGAGGCAGGAGGATTGCAAGTTCAAGGCCAGCCTGGGCCATTTAGCAATAAGACTCTGTCTCAAAATAAAAAGGACTGGGGATGTAGCTCAATGGCAGAATGCCCTGGGTTTAATCCCCAGTACTGAGATTTTTTAAAGAAAGAAAAAAAGAAAGGAAGAGGGGGAAAAAAAAAGGGAAAAGAGTACAACTTAGCTTTTCCTCAGAGATAAAGATTAATATGCCTTTGGTGGTTTAGTCTCCTGTGAGTTCTATGGCAAAAGAAGCAGTTTATCGCCAGGTGTGGAGGCGCACACCTGTAATCCCAGCAGCTCAGGAGGCTGAGGCAGGAGGATCATGAGTCCAAAGCCAGCCTCAGAAAAAGCAAGGCGCTAAGCAACTCAGAGAGACCCTGTCTCTAAATAAAATACAAAACAGGGCTGGGGATATGGTTCAGGGGTCGAGTGCTCCTGAGTTCAATCCCCAGCACCTCCCCCTCAAAAGAAGCAGTTTATTATAACAATGAGAGCCCCTGTCTATTGACCATCTGTCTTCTGTGTTAGGCATTTGATGTGTATTGCCTCATTTAACCTCAACAACCTTGTGAACGATTATCACCTCCAGCTCACAGATGAAGAGAATGAGCACAGAGACTGGAAACTCACTCAAAGTCCCACAGTTGGTACATGCTCAGAGGCAAATTGAAGTCCATGAGACCCTCAAAGCCTATATTTAAGGAAACCTACCCTGAGGGTCCTTCTCTCCAAGTGTAGTTGAGGATCCTCAGCAGTCACCTCTAAGGTGACTCCCAGCATGTGTTTGTTGAAAACACATGCTTTCTTGCCTTCTGTTAGACTAACTGAAGGAAAGTCTCCAGGAGTGGGACCCAAGGAAGTTGCCAAATGCCAGAACATCTGAAAGAAGCCAGGATTCAGTTAAAGCAGTGGCGGTAGGCAGGGCTGTTCCCAATGGAATCAATCAGATGTCCTCAGGCCTTAGGGGCAGAAGCTAGTTGAACTACGTCTTTAAAGTTATGGAGTTGAGTTAGAGAGATGTAAACTGAAGAGGTTCTCCTGGGGAAGGTTTATTGGTTTCATCACAGAAAATAAAAGAGCCTAGGGACACTGTGTGGTGCAGCAATAAATAGGCTTGAGCATCCGAGAGTCACAGGTTCACACCCTGATTCTGCTGGTCACTGTGGGACCTTGGACTGGGAAGGCCTCCTCTCCCAGCCCAACTTCCTTGTCTGAGTCCCACATTAAGAGATTTCTCAGAGGATTAGCCAGTTTATGTAAAATGGCCAGGTGTGGTGAGCAAAAAGCATTGTGCTTGTCCATGGTGGCCAGTAGAGGGAGCCAGGGGGAAGGCACCTGTTAGCAAGAGGCAAAATGCTTACTTTGTGGACTTCTCCTCTGCCAGGGTGGAGGGCTGTCAGTTGGCATAAAGGCGTGGCAGCTGAATGAGCTACTTTAAGTTTGCATCCTATTTCCTTCAGGCTGGGCCGTGACTCACCATCAGGGCTGGAGCTGCAGACACTTGTGGGGGCTCTGCTGCCACCACTTCCTGTTGTTGGAAGTTTGCTTCTCACTGGAGCCTCCAGGTGGCCCTCCAGATGGCCCCTTGGCCACTGGCCTCAGCAGACCTCCTACTCTGTGTAGCGGGGTCTAGAGTGCCTGCCTTCTGCTCCCTCCTGCTGTTCTGTGAGGAAGGCTCAGGCAGAGCCCTGCTATTCTCCGGGTGGTCACAAGGTCTGGTGAATTGAGCGGGTGTTGAGAGTACCAGGCTACGGGATCTGTCATGGTTCATAGGTCAAGTATAACATGCAAGTATGTGTTCATGCGTGAATAGGCAGAGACTTTAGGAGTCATGCAGTGCTCAGCTACACTACCTCAAAATAGAAATTTGTGAACAAAACAAACAAATACTTTTTATTTTTAACTTGTACTCATTGTAGGTTGTGTGCTTCAGACCAGCTGCATGTGGAGGACTCGAGTGACTTTTCTATGGACCCCTTGTGCTGCTTTTTTACACTCTTTTCTTTGCCCTGAAAAGGAGTGGTATTTCCCTTCCCCCTTCCTAACCCCACTCTATCCCTTAGAGATTTCCCCTAATTAGGGGAAACCCCAAATACTTCATAAAGTGAGGAGAAGAGTAGAAAAGAATTGCTTGAATCTACTTCAGTTTTTGCATGCTAGGGCCTTTCTCCCATGGCGCTCACCATGGCACTCTCTCACCCAGAGCTGGTGTTCCTGCAAGAAACACCTCTGGGCGTCATGCCCTTCCCTTTGCTCCCATCAATGGACAGCCCTAAGCTTGCCTAGCTGGCAGACCTAAGGAGCCCTCAAGCCCTGACTTACAGCTTCCTCTAAGACCTTTGCATCTGTACCTTTTATTTCTGGCCTGTGGCTTCTGGTTTTGCTGCCTGTGATCTGAGATGTGATTGTGAGCTAGTATCTGTGTATATATCTATGCACTTCAGGTGGTCTGGGAGGGGGCAGGATGAGGAAGTATTTTTGAGGCTAGGAAGTTGAGTTTGAAGAGTACACTTTCCTGGGGTGCAGAGATTATAGTCTTGTCTACAGGAAATTTATTCCCAGCTCCTTGCCAGAAACATGGGTGACTTGCTACGCCCTTAACTCTTACTCCCATGCAAGATGGTGAGAATGGACATTGGAGGAGAGAAGCTGGCCTCGTGGCAAGATATTAGGTGGACAGAAGTGAAGTGGTAGGTGTGGGGCCTTCCCTGGCTGAGGGTCTGCATTTCTCCTTCTTCCCCTGCAGCCCTGGCCCGCCACCGCTACATGAAGCAGGCTCAGGTCCTAGGTCCTCAGATGTTGGAAAAACCCTTGTACTGGGGGACGGACAGGAGCTCCCAGGTTTCATCTTATGCAATGAACCCGCTGCTGCAGCGAGGTAAACCTTGCCAGAGTCTTGGGAGGGGGAGGACAGAGGGTAAGGGTAGGACCATGGGTGCATCTGGGCCTCCATGACCAACATGGGTGGTGTGTATGATTGAGGATGGGAAGGAGTAGAATCAAGCTAAATAATGTGACTTTTGATGTCCTGATTTCAAGGTGTTTATTTTGAGCCAGTAGTTCTGCATGTTCTGTCCTTGTTTCCATTCAGATTTGTCCTTACGGTCCAGCCTCCCACAGATGCCAATGACCCAGACCACCACTCACCCTCCTATCACCAATGGTGTCCTGGAATATTTGGAAAAAGAGCTGCGGAACCTCAACCCAGCCCAACCTCTGCCCACTAACCTCAAAGCCAGATCTGGCCATCCCTGCAGCATGCTGTCCTCCCTGGGTTCCGAGGTTGTGGAACGCAGGATCATCCACCTGCCCCCACTGATCAGAGACCCATCCTCCTTGGGGAGGACCAGCGACTCCTCACACCAGCTGTGGCACACCCCAATTTCCTCCAGACCCTGGGATCTGAGGGAGGGGAGAAGGCAGCACCATTACTCTGATTTCCACCAGGAGCTCCAGGACTGGGGGCCAAAACCCTGGGCACTGGGGAGAAGAGAGCTGGACCACCCAGGGAGTGGAAGGCGCCACCATTCCAGGCGGAATGGGTCACCCACGCCGCCCTGGTCAGACAGGGGCAGCCTGAGCGATGGCTTCTCGTCCAGTGAAGCCCGCTGGCAGCCCAGCCACCCGCCTCCCAGGAGCCACTGGGAGAGGCCAAGCAGGCGCAGGCCCCGGGAGAGTGTCCCTAGACGCGGGAGACGCAGGGCCAGCAGCTGCTCCCCGCCACCGCCCTCTGGATTCAGCTCTTGGAGCTCGGAGGAGGAGAAGGAGAGGCCGCCCCGCAGCTGGGGAACCCGCCGCCACCGCTCGCAGTCCCCGAATTGGCCAGAGGAGAAGCCGCCCAGCTACCGCTCGCTGGATGTCACTCCAGGCAAGAATGGCAGGAAAAAAGGGAGTGTGGAGAGGCGCTCGGTGAGCCTGGGGCATCCTGCTGAGGGTTGGGCGTGGGCAGAGGACCCCTCCAGCTAGGACTGGCTGCAGCCGGCACTGGCGCCTCCTGCTGGTGAGCCGCCTGTCAGTGCGGGGTGCAGGGGGAGGCTCCCAGCTTGCGAGGGCTTCTGGGCCCCATCACTCCTGCCCACCTGGTCCTGTGAGGCAGGTGCAGTAGGGTCCTCCTGTTTCACAGGTGAGGAAATGAGGCTGAAATGATTTGCAGCCTGCGGGTGGGGATGCAGGCCTAGGCCTTCGCCCTAAGCCTGTACCTTCCTTTTTTTCTTCAAGGTTTTGCCTCCTGTCACAGCTGTCTGGCTTTGCTTAGAACCCTTATTTTCATACCCCAAATTAGAACATGCAGGGGGCTTGAGGATGTTTGTCGATTCAGCATGCAAAGCCCATGTATATGTGAGGATGAGGCCTCTCACATACCCCTGGAAGGTGTCGTTAAACTGATACACAAATCCTGGTGTCCCAAATATGGCTCAAAACTTTAGGGTATGTGAACAGACAAGGTGTCATATGGTCTTCACCCTATAATGGGAACATAGGAAGACATAGGCTTTTGGAGTCTCCAAATATAGATCTTTCTTCTTTTTTAAAAAGATCATTATATGATTAATACACCCAAATGACAGTCTCCCTTTAATGCTGCTAATTGTTGCCATCACTCAAAAAAAAAAAAAAATTAATGAACTTCTGAGAAACAACTTTCAGGCTACCATGAAAATCTTTTTTTTCCATTCAACCAAGGTCATTTTCTCTTTTGCTTCTGTTGAGCTAGTCAAAGGGAACTGTAGACAGCTCTAAGGAAGTTCCCAAAGAGTAGAGGGATATTATCAGAAAAGTGTAGTCTCTTGTGGGCTTTGAAGGATACACCTTTCATTTGGAAGTGTTTTTGTTTTTGTTTTTTTAAATCCATCATACATAGTGTGTGCCAAGGAGCAGGCCCCCTTTCTAGAGAGCAATTTTTGAGGAAAGAATAAAGACCAATAGGCATTTCTGAAATAATAGAAGTTGTGACATATTCTCCCCAAGTAGTCCATGAGAGACAAAGATCAGCAAGCATGGAAATAGCTGGGGTACACAAGTGTGGACATCTTATGCAACATCTCCTTGCATCCACACAGCAATCTGAGTTCAAGCAAGACTACAATTTTCTGATAATTATTCTCTGCTCTGGGAACTTCCCTCATAATCCTTTGACTAGCATAACAGAAGCAAAAGAGAGTAGTGTTTGCACAGTGATCCTCACTTGCAGATGGCACAACTATTCTTCCATGTTAGCATTAAGAAAATTAAATCCTGAAAGAAAGTGCAGAATTAATCAAAGCTGGTACAACTATAGTTACTTTCTTGATATAGTAACTAAATATGTCTTTTCATTTTAACAGAAAAATTATAATTTTTTAAAGTTTTGGTCCAAGATCGGAACTCTACTTTCTCCTAAGTTAAATCTTTAAGTTAAATTATGTGACTTGTAAGTGAGAGAAGTGTTCCAAACACTGGAGTAAATCCTTTCCAAGTCCTATTTCATTTAATCCTCACAACAACCATGTGGGGCACAGAGAAGTCTAGTAACATGCCCAAAGAGCCAATAAGAGTGAAGCCAAAGTTTAACACCCCTCTGACTCTCAAGCCTGTGCCTTTTTCAGTAACTCATACTGCCTCCTTAGAAAAAAGGATCACTTAGAACAGTATGTTATAGGACAGATCCCTCCTCCAAGAGGACTGCTCCTTTGCACACCATGTATGATGGATCGTTTTTTTTTTTTTTTTTGGTCACAATAGAACACACACTTCCGAATGAAAGGCATACCCTTCAGAGCGCACAAGAGACTAACTTTCTTAAAATATCCCTCTACTCTGGGAACTTCCCTAAAAGCCGTTCACAGTTCCCTTTGACTATCTCAATAAAAGTCAATGAGAAAAAAGGTTTTGGTCAAATAGAAAAAAGATTGGGAAAGGTTGGGAAGAATGACATTTTCTAGTGACGTTATTTCTTCCTAATTTTCTGGAAGTATCACAGCTTCCTTTATCCTTTACAGCAATAATTTTATCCTTTACAGCAATAATTTTACCATGAGTCAATCAGATTTTCAACCATAAAGTCATTTTTGAGAGGCAAAGTGTTTTTTCCAAGGTCATTTTAAAAAGTTCCATTGTTTGGGGTGTCTTTGAATTTGTTTCCCAAAGAGTTACCACTTGACCACATTCAACATATTCTGACAGTCCCCAGAGGCAGAGAGACAAAGCTGGGTTGGTGGATTGATTATTTTGAAGGGCCCAGTGTTTGTGTTATTTATAGCTTGAATTTAGAATGCCTTTAGTGGGGCCAAAAGTCTTCAGGTCAAAGTCTTTCTCTCCCCCTCTTTCCTTGGTAGGTCTGGATGCTCCCCACAAAGGTTATCTTCCTAGCTTAGCAGCTTGCAGCTAAATTCAGACATTATAGTACTGTTAGGCCACTAGATGGTGATCTTTGATCATGTGTCACCTGAAATTTGCTTATTTATAGAATTAATAGTATGTATTACTATTTTTTAAGTGAAACTTTAGCTCTTAGCATTACCATAACTTCAACAAAACATTGATTAAAAATTCTTTAAGTCTTCATAGAAATAGCAATTAAACTACATATTTTTGGCTTATATGGAACTTTCTCTTTCAAGAGTAATGTTTAAGAAACAGAAACCTGGCTACTGGGCACATGATCTCATTGTACCTGAAATACATGAGAACTGTTCTCTGCACAGTACCCAGGAGAAGATGGATCTCCTACCCCACTACAGTTAAGATATCACGTCCACCAAAACTACACTCTCTGAAATAGAAAAAGCAGAAATTTTAAGCTTTTTACTCTAGAGATTACAGACTGAATGGTCCCTGTGTTCTGGCCTCATTAAAATTGATGTTATTTCTCTTCACTCTTATCCTAATAGAAAGGGTTTCCAAAGGAATTTCTGGGTTGTTCCAAACTTGACCCACACTCATCTGTTTTAATACCAAGAGAAAACTACCATGTTTTTCTCTCTGGGTTAACCTCATATTTTCTTTAAACAATACCAGCTTTTTTCTTTTTGTCTTTGACTTTTTGATTTAATAAAATATTACATTAGAATTTTTATAGCTTAAATCTACTTTAAATAAAATATCTACTCCTTCAACTTTCTAGGTCTTCCTTTAACTGGTTCCTTTTGCCCCATTTCATTGTTTTCCTCTCTCAGAGAATATTCATCCCAGAAGATTTTGATTTAAAAGCATGACCCCTAAAACTCACTTTCCTAATAAATTGGAAACAGACTTTTTACAGAAACACGAATGTCCTACATATATGATACCTTTAGAATAGTATATTACAGGACGGATCCCTTATCTCCCTATTTCAAATAAGATGAAGACTTACATGCCCACGGATTATAACTGTAGATGTTCAAAAATGAAATGAAATGATCTCTACAATACATAATTAGAGAAATACATTAGAGAAACATAAACCATAGTTCTTCCTCTCATCCAACATGTAGAAAAAGCTCAAAGACCAAGTGGAATAACTTTTGAAGAAAAGCCACTGAGAGCTGGGGTTGTGGCTCAGTGGCAGAGCGCTGGCCTAGCATGTGTGAGGCACTGGGTTCAATTCTCAGTATTGCATATAAAGAAATAAAATAAAGATCCATTGACAACTAAAAATATATTAAAAGAAAGGAAAAGCCACAGAGTTTGGTTAGGAAGAGGTAGTGATTTTTGAAAAATAACTCCAGAAAAATACTAAGGTATGAAGCTAAACATTTTAGAAAAGGGTGGAAGAAATTATTCAGGAGATACACGTAGGAAGAGGAGACTACCTCCAGAATGAGTGGGAGAGAGATATTGATGAATGGAACAGGGTATTTTTTTTTAAATCTACAAGAGACTTGAAAATGTTTGAAAAACAGCAAGCAGGAGGCAGAGTGAATAAGACTCAGAACTTTTCAGAAATAAACATTGTTTGAGGGAGACTATAAAGAAGGAGGAAAACAGAGAAGGTTAAGCCTGGGAAAGGAGACTGACTCCATGAAGAATCAACAGTTTTCTTCGGGTTCAGATCTGCAGTACCAGCAGCCAACACTCACTAGGGTGTGAACCAGCGCACCGTGTATGTGTATGTTGTTTGCACAGACAATGGATTACAGCTGACTGGATTGTTTTGTGTTCTTCTCTTCCTCAGGAGAAAGACAGCTCCCATAGTGGAAGGAGTGTGATCATTTAGTCCCCAGGCACGGCACCACTTCCGTGGCTCCATCTCTGCTCCTGTGTGTCATCAGTATCACCTAGGTTCCCAGCTGACTTGGGGGCAGGGGACACTGCAAGTCTGCCACCAACAGCTTTGGCTTAGATTCTGAAAATCAAATAGAGGAATTTTAAAAACAAGAGTTTGAGGAATCGATAACTAGTTTTAACCTTGGTCTATGCTCTCTGCATAATTTGTACCATCTTTGATCAGTAGTAGACCCTAGCTGGGATGTAAACCCTCGGGAACATAGTAGCCTGAGTCTTCAAGTAGGTTACAGTGCTAAGGACCGGGGCCATTCTCAAACTGAGATCTCAGGAATCTTTAAGAAGAGATTAAAAGTGCTTTAGGAACAAGAAATCCAGAGTATTGGGGGGAAATTCCCATGGGAACTTGTCTCCCTCTATTGTAGATCTTGGGGGGACCTTCCATGTTTAGAGTCTGGCCTCCTGCTCCCATCTCCACTCCTGAGGACTCCTGAATTTTCACTCCAAAATAGTCCAGAGATTCTATGGCTGTGAGTCCTTTCTCAGGCTGTTTATTGTACATGTAGAAAAATCACAAGAAGCAGTTTTGCACAAACCTTATTCCTGTCTCCTTTTCTTGCTCATTCCCCCTCTACATCTAATTTATATTTTCTTATATATTATGTATCCATTAAAATCACTTTAAATGTTTCTTTGTAACCACACAGTCTAAATAAATAAGTAAAGTGTACTGGGCTGAGGATTCTGCCTCTTATAAATATCTGCTTTTATACTTTGGTGTCCTTAATTACAGTAGCTCATTCTTCTCCCTGAATCTAATGGAGTCATTGATAACCTCAGGCAAGGGGACCAGTTGGGAGTCCTACCAAACAACCATGGGATGCCCTCTCCTTCCCTCCTGGACCAGAGACTCCTTTTCTTCTGAGGTGAGATTCTAAAGTGAGTCTGGGGAGCCAATAAGAGAGGCCCAGGTAAAGAAGGTGACTCAATCAGGGAAGCTGAACTGTTTCCTGAGGCCCAAGGCTCTTCTTCCTTGCCCAGAGACAGTAGGGCTGACTAGTAGAACCAGAAAAAGAAACCTATCACAGCTAGCAACCTGGTCCTAGAAGCTGTTTTGTGGAACCAAGACTCTCCTCCCTGGCCCAGAGAAAGCCAGGTAGCAGGACTCTCCCACATTCCTACCTCACCAACAGATATCTGAGACCCTGTCAGGGGATATTCCTCCTTTCACAGAGCACCAGCAGAGACTAGTGGGGCCCACGCAGCACCAAATGAACCAACCAAGCCAAAACAACATTACAAGGGCTTTGGAAATTGAACTTCCATTGGACAGTAGGCAAAGACCTGGATGCAAACAAAAACAGAGTGATTCCCTATAAAACAAAATAATAAATAGGACCCAGAGTCACCTAACATAACAGACAAAATGTTCAGAATATACATCAAGAACCAAGAAATCAACTTCATTGAAAATGGAAATCAACTGATGCTGCCACTTGATCAATCAGATGTTGGAATTATCTGATGAGAATTTTAAAAGAAACATAATTACTGTGCAGATCGACTACAAATTCTCTTGAAACAAATGAAAAAAAATTAAAAATCTCAAAAAAATTAATAAAAAGTGGAAATTATAGAACTGAAGAATACAACAACAAATTCAAAACTTGCTAGGTGGGCTCATCAGCAGAGATGATGGAGGATAGAATCCATGAGCTTGAGGGCTGAGCAAGAGAGACAAAATAGACTGGGCTCTGTGGACAATAACAAATACACAACATTCATGTCAATTGAGTCCCAGAAAGTAAAGAGAAAGAGGGTGGGGGTGATTGAATATTTGAAGAAATAATAGCTGAAAACTTCCCAAATTTGATGGAAGTCTCCAACATAGGGATCCAAAAAGCCAAGTCAATCCCAAACAAGACACACCCAAAGAAATCCATGTCAACACATGTCATAATTAAACTTTTGAAAAATAAAGTCAAAAATTCATTTAAGCAGCCAAAAAGAAATAGTGTACTACATGCAGAGGAACACTAGAGGATTTTTCAACTGAACCACAAAAAAGGAAATGTTCAAATACTTCTTAAGTGAGGCTGGAGATGTGGCTCAAGCGGTAGCGCGCTCGCCTGGCATGCGTGCGGCCCGGGTTCGATCCTCAGCACCACATACAAACAAAGATGTTGTGTCCGCCGAAAACTAAAAAATAAATATTAAAAAAAAATTCTCTCTCTCTCTCTTTAAAAAAAAACAAAACAAATCTTTGAAAAAAAAAACAAAAAACAAATACTTCTTAAGTGCTGGATGAAAACATCCATCAACCTACAATTCTATTTCTGATGAAACTACCTTTCATGGGTGAAGGAAAGATAAAAACATTCACAGATGAGTGAAAAACAAAAGATTTTGTGACTAGGAAACCTATCCTTAAAATGCTGTTGAATAGGAGTTCTTCCAACAGGAAATGGTAAAAGAAGAAAACTTGGAAGAAGAAACAACAAAAAAGAGCAGAAATATGGGTTCATACAATCTCTTTTAGGAGTTTGATGATTGAAACAAACTTCAATGTTGTCTGATATTCAAAACAATGATATTTAAGGATGAGAAAGTCAAAGGGACTTAAATGGAATTGAGCTTCCATATTTCATTTAAAATAGCAAATGTTGATACTTATACAATTTTAAAAATAACGTGTAACACCCAGGGCAACCAGTGTGACTTTTTGTGTGAAGAAGCAAACCCAAAACTACTATAAATAAGTCAAAATGGAATCTTAAAGAATATTTTCAAGTAAACTGCAAAAAGATAAGAAAGAGAAAAAGATTAATGAGAACCAGTGAAAACAGAAAATAAATAATAGAATAGCAGATTAAAATGCTAGCATAGCAATGATTACCTTGTATGCAAATGTTCTAAATATACCAATCAAAAGATGAAAATAGGGAGAGTGAATTAAAAATAATCTACATGTATTAATCTCCTACTACATATGAGAAACTCCAAATTCAAACACAGGTAAACTGAAAATAAAAAGTAAAAAAAGATATACCATGTACACATTAATCATAAAAATAAAGAGAACAGTAGTAGCAATAACAAAGATTTCAAAGCAAAGAAAATTACCAGAGACAAAATGGGATATTATATAACAATAAAAGGATCAATCCACCCAGGAAGCACAACATACTAAAAGCTAAGCCACAGATAAAGCTACAACTGATAAAACTGAAGTGAAAATTAGAATAACCTACAAATACCATTCAAAACTTCAACACCACCCCCACTCCCATCCCCAGTAACTATGATAGAGTTATGAGGCAGAAAATCACAAAAACATGGGAAATCTAAATAGTGCAGTCAATCAAGAGGATCTAATTAACATACCAAATATACGACCCACATCAACAGAATACATTTTTCTCATTTGCCCATTGAACACTGACCAAGTATACATAAACAAACAAAGTATACTCTAAAACAAAACTTGATGGCCAGGCATGGTGGCACATGCCTGTAATCCCAGTGACTAGTGAGGCTGAGGCAGGAGAATCAGAAGTTCCTGGCCAGCCTGGGCACTAAAAGGGTTGGGGTTACAGCTCAGTGATAGAGGACTTGGATTACAGGTGTGTGCCACCTTCTCCAGCTTAGTAAACTTCTAAAGGGGAATTAACACCTACTTTACACACTGTCTTCCAAGAAATGGAAGAGGAGGTAAAATTTCTCCTCACTCAGTACAAAACCAAAGAAGGACATTACATGAAAAGAAAACCACAAACATCTATCCTAAATTTAGAAACAAATTCTTAAATAGAATATTAGCAAACCTTTTGGCACATAAGAATGATTATATGCCAAGAAAAATTGGGATTTATTCCAGGTTAGTGAGGTTTAAGGATTTGCACCTAAATCTTGGAGAGATGTTTGTTTATAGTTATCTGCTTTTGAGAAATAGGGATCTAATTTCATTCTTCTTTTCACCAATGTATGTTTCTGGCACCCTTGTCAAGAATCAGATGACAGTTGCTGTGTGGGTTTGTCTCTGTGTCCTTTGGCTATTCCATTGGTCTACATATCTTGTTTTAATGCCAGTACTATTATTTTGTTTTGTTTTTTACTATGGATCTGTAATATAATTTGTGCCTCCAGCTTTGCTCTTTTTGCTCAGGATCACTTTGGCTATTCTAAGTCTTATTCTTCGATACCAATTTTAGGATTTTTCTTTTTCTAGTTCTGTGAAGTATGTCATTGCTATTTTGATGTCTCTTGCATTGAATTTGTAGATTGCTTTCAGTAATATGCTCATTTAAATTATATTAATTCTGCCTATCCATGAACATGGTATGTCTTTTCATCTGCTAGCATCTTTTTCAATTTCTTTTTTAAATGTCTTATAATTTCCTTGTAAAAGTCTTTCTCTTCCTTAGTTAGATTTTTTCCCTAAGTGTTTTTTTTAACTATTGTGATTGTTTTCCTAATTTCTTTCTGAGCAGAAAAATCAAATTTTTTTAAGATGGAAAGATTTGAATAAAAATTTCACCAAAGAATATATGAAAGTTCCTAATAGCACATAAAAAATGATCCATGTCATTAGTCATTAGGAAAATGCAAATTAAAACCAGAATTAAATGCCATTGCACGGCCACTAGAATTGTGTGTTAGTTTTCTCTGTGTTAGTTGGCCTCTAGACTGGTATTTTCCATGACAAAATGCCATAGATGGGTGGTCTTAAACAAAAGTAATTTATTTCCCACAGTTCTGAAGACTGTAAATCCAAGATCAAAATTACAGCAGGTTTAGGTTTTTCTGAGGTTTTTTTCCTTGGCACATAGATGGCTGCCTTCTCTGTATGTCCTAATCTCTTTATATAAGGACATCAATTGGATTGGATTAGAACACCCCATAAACAGACTGATTTTAAGTTAATTGCCTCTTTAAAGCTTTATCTCCAAAACAGTCACATTCTGTTGTACTGGTGTAGGACTTCAACATATGAAGGGGGGTAGGGCACAACTCAGTCATCCTGTGGATACTCATACATAGAATTCTGTCTACAATAGAAAGGAACACTTTACCAACACATACTATGAAATGGATGAGTCTCAAAAACATTATGCTAAAGGAAAAGAAACCAGATGCAAAGACCTCATATTGCATGATTCAATTTATATGAAATATCCAGAAAAGACAAACCTATAGAGACAGAAAGTATATTAGTGGTTGCCTGGAACTGGGTTGAGCAAGAGATGGTGGCTGAATGAAAATGCTCTTACTGGGATGATGTGAATGTTCTAAAGTTGGGTTGTGATGGTAAGACAGAGTTCACACAGGTAGCTGGGGATTCTCCACCTGGACCTACCATGTTGCAGCCAGGATCTCTGAACCTCAACAATGAGACCTTTTGGAAGTCAATGGTACCCTACAGATATCAGAGAACAGATAGCAGACTGGAATTGTGTGGCATGCAGACATGGAGATGGTTGTGAAGATGAGAAAAGAAGTGAAGAGAAACCAAGTTTTGGTCATTATGAAAACTTGTCAGACTGAAGTCCAAAAAGGGCACTAAAAGTATGCTATTAAAAAACCAAAGATGGATGGGCTGGGGATGTGGCTCAAGCTGTGGCGCGCTCGCCTGGCATGCGCAGGGCACTAGGTTCGATCCTCAACACTGCATAAAAATAAAATAGAGATATTATGACC